TGACAACCTGACATGACAGATCTTTCCAAGGTACATCCATCACCTGTCTACTGGCCAATGGAATCCACGTCTGTACAGCTAAACTAATGCCACCGGATGTCCTGCAAAGTCAGGAGCAAGTCTGCTTTTAAATTCAGAAATAAATCATTTTCAACATCATTGCCAATCAACTCATTGACTTCATGAATTGTCCTCTCTCTTACTAAAGGCTTTGAAACTCCAGAAAGGTTTTTATCCTACAATAGGTGATGAGAAAAAAAACAAACATAACTTGCATACCAGTTGTAAGAAATGAAGAGGGGCAAAAGTTTTGGAGGCATGAACTAATCAATGCCATGTAGTTCTCTTTAGCTTTTATAATTATGAAAGAAATCATTCCTGAGCATTATTAAAACACACCATGCAGCAGCAGCAAAGCTCTAGCCTAATTTGTGTTCTCAAATGTAAAGGAATGACGCATTCTCAAATCTAAAGGAATGACACATTCTCTGTGATCAGGTAAGGGATGAAGGTACACACTTCATACAATTTTTTAAGCTGCAATTTTTTAAAAAGAAGTGATACCAGAGACCAGAGTCAAATAATCTAAAGTAGAATTATTTTAAAAGGAAACTTGGGGGCTGAGGTGTAGCTCAGTTGGCAGAACACTTCAGAAGCATGTCAGAGGTTGGGTTCCAAACTAGTACCCCTCTCCCTAAAAAAAGAGAAAGAAAGAAAAAAATGTTGTTGCCTCACATAATCAAAATGCTAGCAAGCTTCCTAATTTTGAAGTGCTATGGACATGATCACATGAAATATTGGCAATTTTTACAGATCACAAACTGAAAATTTTCCAACAAGCCTATTTAAGTTTTTATGATACTAAGATAATAGATTTATTTCAAGATATCTATTTAGGACTAATGGTTATTGCAATAAATTTGTATTTTTATGAACCATGATCATTTAGTTAGGCTCACAAAAGGTTCTAAATTTCAAACTTTAAAAATACTGGAGACAGAAAGGCATAAGAAATATCTATTTTTTTCCAGGTTCTATGGGTTCCTTCAGGCAGAAGAATTCAATTCATAGCATGCTTCCAGGATACTATAAGGTAGCTTAAAGCTGGCCATATGGACCCTAGTTATGAGCAATACAAGGAGAAAAGACAATTATTGCACCAGAATTGCCATCATGAGGTATTATAAATAATATCAAAGTCAGATTGGGTCAGTGCTCTGAGGGTTTAATTGTCTTCAACATCAGCGATTGCCTAAAAAATTATGCTTAACAAATCATTTGTCTCAACATAGAAAAAAAGTTTATGCTTCTCTGTAATTAAAGAAATGATAAGTTTTTTAAATGGAGAGCAATATTTATTTTACATCCACCATCTGCTTTTAAGTATATATCTTACAAATAAAAATACTATACCTTTTACAAACAAGAAAAGAATGACAAAGAAAAAAGAAAGAACCTCAAACAGGAGTTGGAAACTCAACTGATTCAGCACAGCTTTGCAGTGTCACATAAAAAGTCTATGTAGAAAGCTGCATGAGACTGTAAAACTTCTGTTTATGGACTTTGATCCAACCTGCCATAAAACTATTCCTCACTTAGTATCTTCTATTTCCATTATATGCCAAATATTCTCAGGCTTTTGCCTGGTACAAAACAAAGCAATAAAATTTAACCATCTCACTATTATAATACTAAATGACCTAAAACATTACCCACAATCACTGAGCTGGTTAGTAACCAATGAAAGATAGCTTTATTCTAACGTGCCATCAAGAATAACTGTTAAGAGGCGTTAGCATCAAGAAGGCGACATTTGTAAATGCATGCACAGTAAAGTCCCCAATTAACACAGCATCTCAGGCCTGTAAGACTGCAAGTAATCTAGAATAAGGTTCACTAGATCAAATTAATTTCTACATCAATACATTATGCTATGAATTATTCATGTGACACCCTTAAATTCGCATAAGCAGGTTTTGACTACTGGAAGGAACTGCTTCTATACTACAAGCTATAGCTTTTAATGAGGTACTTAGCTCTGCACTTGAAGATAAAATATAGAAAATAATGAAGTATAGCAGCCTAACTGCTTTCCAGGTCCACCAAAATTCACAGGTGTTTTTGAGAATTTAGGAATGCCAGAACTTTCATCACTGAGTGCAGATCACTCAGGTCTGGGGATAGGATAGAAAAGCATGCCTGAATGGCAAATGACAAGAAACAATGTAGAAATAGTTCCACCAGCAAGCTCTATTACTGGTGCAAATGCACAATCTAAGTGAATTCAAAAGTCACTGTAAATTTTAAAATATGCCACATGCCTCTACAGAACTATTCTGTGTCTTGCCTTTTCTAAATCACATACAGTATTCGTCTTACACTTACAACGCCTAACAAAGTGATACGAACTTTTAATTTTTAAAAAACAGGGCTATAAAGTTAAGATGTATACAATAAATTTTTATCACTATAATGCGACCACACTGGGCTTAGTAGTCTGACATTTTTATAACCAACTGATGTCCACCTTCTTACTCTTATTTAAAAATCTCCAGTTAATGCCACCAGTATAAAGCCAAACTGGAATGTTATTTCATGAAGGCCCTCTGGATGCACAAAAATTCTGAGATTATATTCTTTACACTGACATCTCCAGCACTTTATAACTCCTAAACTTGAGGGCCTGCACCACACTCACTACTCAAACATTTTACACTTTCGTTTTCCAAGTTGTACTCAACATAGTCTTCTCTTAACACGACCCCCCCAAAGTGTTCAACCTACTGCCATCATCAACCATAACTAAAAACTGTAATTGAAAAACAAATCTCTTGGAGTTTTGGATCATCTAAATTTTATAGTTAGCACTGTCATTTTAAGAACTGGGGATTTAATCCTATGCTACATGGGAGAAGAATAGGAAAAGAAATGTAACTTAACTCTGTTTTCCATAAAATGTTGCTACATTTTCAAAGTTTTGGTAGGTTCTGACAGTATTCTTACTAGTGAGCACTATCACTGCATTGTCCCAAGTTTTTGACTTTAAAGGGAAGTTTATGCAGATTTATTGGACAAGACCCCTCCAGCACATGTTAAAGCTCAGCCTAGTTCTCTGCCTCCTCCGTTCTCTGTGCCCCAATTCAATGACTGCAGAAGGGTGGGAGTGTAGAGGATTGAAAAGACACTGGTGACAGATGGCCTCAGTAGCAGGTGACCCCTGAAAACTGTTGGCTCACAGCAATGGATTCTAGACCCAGATGGCCTTAGTGCCTCACCTCAGACCCGCAGAAAAGTGCTGTTCAAAAAGATCACTTTCAGAAAGAGCACTTTCCTTCCAGAGCTATCCTCTGACCCCTCTGGATTTTGAAGGAGGAAGGCTAAAGCAGGAAAGATGACTTATAAAGGTGGGGTGAGTACTTAAAGAGAGGAGTATTAGATTTGTCCCTGAGCCCTCTTCTGTCAAAAGACCTCCCAAATCGCCACCAAGTCTGAACGTTTCCTAGGAAAAACAAGATTAAAAGGGCCCAAGTAATAGATGTGCAAGAAAGTAGAGAGAGACAAGTGACCGTCGGTTTTCAATGAGGCATCTCCCGCAGGTGTGAGGGGCACTATGGGACTCAGGCTGGGGAATCGCGCCCCAGGGAAAGTGGAGGGAGGGATGCTGAAAGAAATACCTCGTTTTCTTTCCAAAGGGCAACATTGCAAACGTGGGCGGGGGGTCCTTTCCGAACCCGGCTGAGGCTGGAATCAGGAGGCTCCAGCAGTGAAGTCGCTCCCGGGTTAGGTCAGCGCAGGACCCGCTGCCCAAGGCCCTAGCCCCGCGCTCCAGCGGGTCGCAGCCTGCTGGCCCCGCGCTGCGTCGCCCCCTGGCGGGAAGCGCCCGACAAAGCCGCGGCCACGCGCGGGAGAGTGGGAGCCAGGCGCCCAGTCTCGGCCTCCTCCACCTTCACCGTCCTGGACACCGCAGCCCTCCAAGCCAAGGCGGCCGGCACAGCTGTGCAACGGCCACCGCCGGCGGGGCTCGGGCCCCTTCTCCAAAGGCAGCCTTAGTGTGCGGCAGACCCTGGCCGCGACCGACCCCGCACCGACTCCGACGCCTCTCAGGAATCCACGCGCCAGGCACTTCTCCCCGCTCTTGTCCCGAGCTCCGGTCCCAGTTCGTCCCCAACCGTAAGGCAAGCTGTTCCCACGCGGGTCCAGACTGCCCGCCCCGCAGCCGCCTCCTAAAGCACAGGCTCCTGCCCCCGCCCCCGCAACGGCCGCCCGGGGCTTGGCTCAGGACCAGGAAGCGCTGGCCTCGGGGTCTAGCGGGACCCGCCAGCCCCTGGGGTCGCTCACCATGGCGCCTCCCTTGCGCTCTTTGTGTGCGCCCCGCAACCCGGGCAGAACTTTCCTTTCCGCACTGCCATGGGCGAAAAAGCAAGTGAAAGGAAGCGCGGGACAATCGAGGGACTGGAAGGGACAGAAGAGGACACACTCACTCTGCAAAGACTCCGGCATGTTGCTGCCCTAGGGCTTCCTCGCCGCCCAGCCCTGCCCGGCTTCCCCGCCCGCCAGGGTCAGCGCGAGGGGGGCCAGGGGAGGAGCGGAGTCACCCGGACCCCGCTGGCCACGGCGCTTCCGGAGCTGCAGGGAAGGGGCTCGGACGCTGTTTTGGTTTTGCTAAGCGGGCTTAGGGACCCGGGAGGTAAAGGGGCCGGAGGAAGGCCGGGAGCGCGGGTGTGCGAAAGGAATTTTGCTTCTGGGGAATGCGGAGACCGGAGTCGCACGCACATTTTTGTATTTGAACTTTGTAAGCTGGCTTGGACCCGACGCTAGAGTTTTGCGACTGCGCTGGCTTCAAGTGGAGGACTCTGCCCCACACAACCCCGAGACCTACTTCAAAGCCAAGGGGCCTGGAGACAGGGTTTGTTTTATGGTAAACGGAAGGGAATTCAACAGAGGCAGAGATAGCCCTGAGTTGCGCTCCAGCCCCGTGTTGTCAGTGGTCCTCTTCTTACCTGGTGGCTTTCCTAACAAAGTAAGAGAAGGTGAAGTCCCAGTGATCATCCAACCAGGCTTCCACCGAGTCCGGGTTCTGCTGCTGCCACGGCCGCCTGACGCTGGGGCCGGCCGGGTCCATGGTCTGCGCCGCGCGCCTCTGCGGCTGGCGGGTGCGGATTTCCACCCCGCCAGGGTCTCTTGCTCGCTGGAAGCGCGGGACAGAGACCGAGACCCTCCCCTTTCCCTGCTGCAGTCCCGCAGGCTTTCAGCCAAGGGCCTGGCTCGGTCCGGCCTCCAGCCCCGCCTCGCCCCGCCCACCCCGCCCGGCCTCCTAGCTCCAGGCTCCCGGGTTCCAGGTGTGGCAGTCAGGGTGGCGCTGCAGCGCCAGCCCTGCTTGGTGTCTGGAGGAGTCCAGTTCTCAAAGTCTTCCAAGTTCCGGAGTTCCGAAGCAGCCTCGGGGGCGATAGACGAACTCAATGCAAACCAAGTGGGCACCTCCAGAAGGAAGTCAGGCGGCCGCTGGGATGCGCTGTGTGTGGAGCCCCCTGAGGAGCTTACTCAAAGGTGACTGGGTGTGATCAGAAGATCCCATTATAGGAAAGGGAAGGTTACAATGAATGGAACCCAACTCAAGCCTAGAAGGCAGAAGATAAGGAAGTTTCACCTGAAAGTGAGAGATGATGCTAACCTAATGCTTGTCCTTGCTCCTGGGAGTGCAATGACTTCCGCCTCCTTCTCTCCATACAAGTGTTTGGTCCAGGAGAACCAGGACCAACTTCCCTTGGAACCTAGTCTACGCCCTGGCCAAAAACCTCAGTCACCCGCCATGTCTGGGCTGGAGAATTGAAGCTTTTGCCCTCAAGAGAGGATTGTGGGCGTAGATGTGTAATTTCCAGCAGGACGACCCGTGCTTCATGTTAACAATAGTCAAGAATTAAATGTCTTTAACCATTGCACCCCACACCTTTCTTAACTGGAAAAAAAAGGATTTTCTGGAAAAAGAAAAAGGCAAACAATCACGATGCTTTGCCATATGAAGGTAGAAAACAAGGGCACCTCTGAACAATTAGGTTAATTTGATAGCACCAGCATTAGCTACCCAGGTTCAGTCCAGAGCAACCAGTTAGCCCAATTTTAAATTAATTCATCATTTTTATGTACTGGAATTAACAACCCCCTAGAAGTATCCACTAAAAAGGGCTCAGTCTTCCAACCCTATTTTGTCCACACCCTTATAAGTTGCAAAAATAGAAAGAAAAAAAAAAGAGTTGATTCCATCCTTCGCTTTGTCCTCATCCCAGTCTCCCTGTCCCACAATTGCAATTTTAATATGCATTTGCAGTGACCTAATTTTTCTTGGCAGACTTAAATCTGGAGTTGTATGTTGCACAATGTGTGAATGACACCGTTAGCAGTGATATACCAGAAGTGATTTAGCTGACATACTTTTAACAAAGTACACTTGGCAAGAATGTAAGACATTACTCACTACATAGAAACACATAATTAAACTGATAATATGGGAGCCTTAAGCAATGTCTTCCAGTCCCCCATGCAATGGCTTATTTTCCTGCATTGAGTAATTGTCCTTTTGTAATTTCAGTTCCTCTGAAACTTTACCTTTGTGCCCAAGTAGCCACAACCAATATAACAGAAGCAAATCAGTAGAGCCGAAGTAAAGCAGGGTAAATTAGATTTTAAAGCAAGAGTTCTCTCCAGATATGCTACTATAATGGTGATCAGAATGCTGGGAGAATGGACTTTCTCTACAGTGATCTTCTACCTCCCCAAATCCATGCACTCCTCCTAACAGGAGGTCAAATAATTTAAGACCAGACTTAACAGACTAAAGATACAGAGTGAATTTTTTGGCTTCAATGTTTGTGTCCCCTTCCAAAGTTCATGTTGAAACTTAATGCCCAATGCAACAGTATTAAAAGGTGGGATCTTTAGGAAGTAATTAGACCACTGAGTTCTACTCTCATGAATGGGTTAGGCCACAGAAATGGGCTGGAGGGGACCAAGTTTGCCCCTTCTAACCTCTCTACCATGGGAGGACAAGGTGTTAGTCCTATGGAGGATGTAGCAACAAGGAGGAAAACGTCACATGTATTGTGCCTTGATCTTGGATTTACCAGCCTCTAAATCTGCAAGAAATTAATTTCTGTTGTTGATATATACCTACTCTTCCATATTTTGTTAGAGCAGCACTACAGACCAAGATAATGGGCAATATTAAATGGCCATTTTCTCTAACTTAAAAGAGTTAAAATATCAGAAACCAGTAAGGTTTTTGGATAATTGCTGCAAGAAAAACAATCCATGGATTCTCTCATCACTGAATCCCAATTTTGAATGGTGTAAGCAGTCGAATGAATTTACTGTGAAGGCCTATTACCCAAAAAACATGTCGCAAGGTGCTCAAAAGCAGGAGTGTTTTGAACTGTTCTAGTTTCTAGGAAACTCAGATAAAATCTGTAGCAATATCTCTTGTCAGCTTAAGTATATAGCTTTAAGGGAGAAGGGGGGAGAAATGACCCAAACATTGTATGCACATATGAATAAAAAAAATTAAAAAAGGAAAAAAAAGTATGTAGCTTTAAGTCTTTACTTAAAGAGAAGCATATTTTGAACTGGCCTTACCTTGGCCTCTCCTAGTCCTACTTCACTCTTTTTCCCAATATGCACAAATATCTTATGTGTTAACTTGTTGGAATCCATTGCTGTAAACATCTCAAATCATCTTTTGAAATGAGTTGAAGAATAAGTAAACATCATTGGAAAATAACTTTTAAAATGTTGGTAATGCTATTTCTAACAAACAAATGTGGAACAACAGAAAGACCTCCAATGTACTATATTCCCATTGTATTGGACTGAAACTCAAACTCTCTAATAAGGGGGATCAGTAAGCATTCCATTAGTGTAATATCTGAAATAACCACCTCAAAAAGAGAAGGCGTTTATTTTTGGCTCACAGTTTTGGAAGTTTTAGTTTATGAACAATTGACTCCATTGTTTTGTGCCTGTGGCTGCACAGTACACAATGGTGGAATTGCATGGCAGAGGGAATCCAATTCAACTCATGCCAGGAACAAAAATGAGAAGAAATCAGCATCCATACTCCCCTGCAGGAGACTAAAACCTCTCACTAGATCCCATGTCTTCAAGGGTTCTACCACCAGCCAAAAACAAGAAGTTGGGGACCAAGCATTTAACGCATAGACAGACTCTTCCTATATAGCCCAGGCTGGCCTGGGACTCAGGGCCCTTCCACCTCTGCCTGCTAAGCATATATGACATTTTAACAGAATGTACAGAGAAGCACACAACACCACTTCTGTGTTATCTCTACCAAAAACATAAAATCTAATCATGAGGAAATAGCAAACATGTCCAGACTGACGGGCTTTTTTACAAAATAATGGGCCAATGTGCTTCAAAACTTTCAAGAACAAGAGAGATAAAGGGAGGCCGAGAGAGGCTTGTGTATTCAGTATTTATTGCTATGCAACAATCTGACCACTAGCTTAGTGACTTAAAGCCACACTCATTGATTATCTCCCAGTTTCTGTGAATGAGGAGTCCAGGATAGCTTAACTGGAGCCCCTGCTCATGGGCATCTATGATGCTGCAGTCAAGATGTCAACCAGGACTGTGGTCTCAGCTAAGGCTCACTGGCAAAGGAGCCACTTCCAAGCTCTCTGAGGCTGTTGGCAAAATTCAGTTCTTTGTGACTGCAGAACTGAGGCATTCTTTTTATTACTGGGTCCTGGAAGGAGAACTTTGCAGGCTGTTACCTGCAGGCTGCTCTCAGTTTCTGAAACCACCTGTATTCTTTACTACATGGAATTCCCCAACATGGCCACTAGCTTCCTCATAGCCAGCAAGGAAGAGGAGTCCAGAAAGGTGAACCCTATAATTTCATGTAACACAATCACACAATCATGTACAAGTAGTCACACACATCCCATCACTTTTACCATATTCCATTTTTTAGAAGCAAGTCAAGTCCTGCCTTCACACAAGAAGAGAGGATCATATGAGGGTGGGAATCACAGTGGCCACATCAAAAGTGTGAATAACACTGTGTCATAAGGCACAGGACTGGGACAAAGCACGTGTTAGTTGATGTTTGTTGGGCGATGTAAAAGGAAATGTGCGTCTTCTCTCACCTCGTCAGATCTGTGTGTTGTATATAAATAAGTCCATCATTAATCTTTGAGGAGTGGTTGTTTCTTCTCATGGTCTTAGTGAGTCTTACCCACTTAGTAAGACAACATCTTACACTTAGCAGGACTAGGCTTAAGTAAAAGATCATTTTTCTGTTGATAGTTCTAGAGTACATATTCCAAGTTGTTACACATGAGATCAGTTATCAGCCCAACATTTTACCTGTGGTCTAATATTTTAGATGTGTGTGAATTTAAGTCAGATCCTGCTTCTCAATTTAAGGGACAAAGCTAACTGATGAGTAATAGTACTGCTATAATGTAGCGATTTGATGGTGTGCACAAAATTCTCTTTCCCAAATCAAATATAGGATTTTATACCCAAATCTCTTGTAGCAGCCAAGAATTCAGTTTGATATAAAAAGGCTGATCCAGTGAAAGTTCTTACTCAGAGGATGGTGAGCAGCTGCTCTTCATATTAACAGGGGTCACACGTAGAGGAAATAAACTTACATTAAACACTGGTGGGATTTGGACAGATACTAGGCACACTTTTCTGATAAACGGATGCAACACAGATGGACTTATGATAAAAAACAACTGTGGAATTTTCCCCTAGAAACTAACAAACAGGTGGACAGTCATCTGTTGATAATGCTTTGAAGTCCTGTCTAAGAAGCCTGGCTGCCCTTTCATCTGCAAATGGAGAGTATGTTAAACAGAGGAATTGTGATGTTTGTATTAGTAAATAATATTAGCCACTTAGAGAAGCATAAAATAACATGAAACACTCATAGCCAGAGCAAATCTATTCCTCTCATCCACTTTTCTGTTAAAGAGATTCCACACTCTAAATTGAATGTCGCATACTAGTCAGAATGATGAAACATAAAATTATTACAAGGAAAAAGCAAAGACTGAGACACTTTTAAGACAACTGCATCAAGGTGTGATATATTTAACAGAAAACCAGATTAAAAGTAAGTAATTTAGAACACTTCTTAAAAATTGAAGGAACAAAGATGTGTGCTTTTCAAAGAAAATCTGGAGAAACATGTTTAATGATCTTAAATTTAGTC